GCGTACCAACCAGTTCCCATCCCACTTTCATTACTCTTATCCTTCACTGATCTTTAACACATTAATGACATCGCAAGATGGACCGCACTCTGAAGAAAAGATCTCTGGTAGATAGATGTTCCAATCCGCCGCAATCTTGAATTATTTTACCGTGAATTCTGAGCGCTTGGGATTCTTCTGAAAGGAAAATAAGTGGAGGGTAGAAGTAGTGAAAGTAAGATGCGAGGGTGCGATATTGTTTCACGAGCGCTTAGAGTAAGTTTGTAGATGAGAGTGAACCTTGACGTTGATATGTTGTGAGTCGCTTGACTATCAGCTGCGTCATAGAGGCATGATCTCTCGGCTGAGAGATTCCAAAAACAAGACTTCAATGGTAAACCACCTCCATATTAGTTCTAAAAATCGCTTAGCAGGCTCGGAAAGCAGATTCCATTCAGCGTCACAAGGTGCATACATGTATACACATTTTCTAAACGGCCACAGTGATCTGAAGAACTACACTCGTAGGAATACTAACTGTAGCTGCTCTTGTCCAGGTGTAATCGCCAGAACACGTCGGTCGAGTGTTCTAGAAAGTTTGCCTATATCTGCACCCAAGAAAACCACGGGTTTGGTCGGTGGTGAAACCATAGCGTGCAATATTGCAATAATAGTACCAGCGCCGACCGCAGGTTGAAGCTGGCTGGCACTGTTATAGCCGGCTAATAAGGTTGCAGAGGATGGGTGACAACTGCAAGGACGCTTCAGAAGTAACACTCACGGTCAGAACACTCGCTCAAATTGTGTCAGTAGGCGAGCCATCGAGAAATGAGAACTCGGCCAGAAATGCTAGCTGGGATTGTGACGCGGAAGGGCGCACGCATAGTCGGTCGTCCGACAGCAACGATCGCAACTGTCTGACTGTCTAACTGCATCTAATCGTCGAATACTCAGGCAAGTCCGACGATCGATACGCATCCAATGCTGTGCGACAGTTACGATCGTTGCTGTCGTCCGACCGACTATGCGTGCGCCCAACGTAGCAACGCTGAATGGTAAGGACCCAAAGTTGTTGATCGCTCATTAGCGAACAAGGATTTCCTTTCTATAGACAAAGGTGTAAGTGTACACTACCAAGAAACAGAGAATATTGAGAAAAAAGTGTAAGATTTTACCACAGCAAAAGAAATGGCATGACCAAAGAGGTAGTGGTATTAGTTGGAGATTTTATATTTGTTGAATTGATTGACAGTCATTCACGGCTGTGAGAATAGATTGAGGAGAACAGAGGAATATGGATAAGGTTTTCAGTGTGAGCGCCGCAAGTGCTTCAAAACTCAAGGCAACTTTTATCCGAACCTTGATGGTGGTTGGTCGACTTCGAAGGACGTTCAATTCAACGTAGTAACCGAGTTGAATGGCCCTGTAGTTAGTGACAGACGTGGTTTATAATGGTTGCGTAAGGCAAACCCGGCACATGCTTTATTCACGAACGTGAAGAATAACTTTCAGAGGTGGTGAAACGAACATTTCGCGGGAATCCTATCACCTCTAGCGAAGCGAGCCATAAGTATTAGCCGCCTTGTCGGCGTCGGCAGTCGGCTTGTGTATAACTTCCAGACCAAGCGCCGCGCTGACCTGCCCATACAATGGAAGCGCGGAACCATTTTGCCCTCTTGATCTGCCACGTTTCAGGTGGCCATACGCGCTTTGAATGTTGCGCATCTTGCAATGAAGGGAAAAGCAATCGCCTAATAAAGCATTCGTTGTCTGCAAGGTAACAGATAACTCATTTCATTCGTTGTGTACAACGAACTTTTGACAAAAACTAGAGTAATTGAAGTATTCAATTGAACCGCTCTTGGAGGAAGGATAAATTCAGATGCGCGTGTAAGGTTAACCCACATCTGACGGTATTCTAGGATTTTTTCGAAGAATTCCAACCACATGACCGTTCCACGAAAACGCACGAAAACTGGGAGCCTCATGAGGGAAATATACATTCGCTCAATTGAATGAAGAAAAAAAAACAAAGGTTAATGAAACCGCAACAAAAGAAACGGACCTGTGCAGTAGCGTTTTCCGTATCATGTCCGCCATCTGCAATTGATCTCTGATAAAGGTTTCAATAATTAGAACGTTTTTCGTTATTTGGTACTGACACAAGCATCGTGTCATTAAACTGTCAAAATAGTGATATGATACACGATGTGTAAATTCTACAATAGATTCCAAAAAAAGCTATTAAAACGAGCACACCTTCAACTTTCAAAATATCTTGCTGGATAGCAGCTTCGGCATAACCGACATCTGCACACTTATCGCGCGCCGATCACTAGACTGATCTGCACTATCCATGGCCACAGAGGGTGGTGGAATGAAACTACGCGAAGTCGGCTCTTCCTAAGCCAAGTAAGATGCAGGCATCTGCCGATAATGATGTACACCACAATTAATCAATCACCTTTATTTTAATTTTCTTGAGGATTCCGGCTTTGATTTCGCAACCATCGCACCAGTCTGCTTTGCATTTCTAAACAAATCTCAATTAAAATCACCCGAGGTTTTTTACAGACTTGAAGTAGCTGCATGAGACATGAAAAGCCACCACTAACACCTGACATCACAAAACTGCGCCAGAAATACCCAGGGTGTGGGTTAGCGAGCTTTCTACCGGTTATTTCGCTTGTGTAGTGGCCTTTTCGTCTGTTGACTGGTTTTAATATTATGATTGCATGACACACCAGCAATGAACATCAATGAAGCGTACGAGAAAAACATATAAAAGGCCCACTGTTTGCCCCTCGCTCGCGTTCTCGACAATATTTGACTCCTTCCATCATGGTTGCTACCTGTTCACATACTGATCGGGAAGGTGCGACCGAAGAGTTATCTAAAGTTTTGAAGAAGCAGATACCATCAGCAGTCTTCGAAGAGTGAACGCAAATTAGATTTTCTAGATATTCATAACTAAACATTTATTTTTATGCTGTTTGATATCGTTATTATCGGGAATTTCTTGTGGCAAAACTGTTTTTGAATGAAGTACAGCTTTCTTGCCGCAGTTTGGGGGAGGGTTCGTCTCCGGTAGGGAGATTTGTCCCTGACCGGCCATAAATCGCTAATTTTGGAACATCGTCCCCGCGGATGGGGAATAGGGATTTTTATCCAGGCGGCAATGAATTCACAAAATGGATATTCGCCTTCGCCCGGATACAAATCCCTATCCTTTCTTCGCCACGGGATAGGAAAATCCCGGTCGGGACGGAAGGCCGCTCCCGACTGCTTACGGGCCTGGTTTACTACCTAACGACCCACTATTTCGAGATAGTGACTCGTACGATTACCGTAGAACTCAGCGCTCAATGAAAGAGCAACGGTGAACCAAGCATCCTCATCGAAATCGAAGTAACATTTTCAAGCTACGGCAAGAGCTACATACTATAAAAAACGTTGAACAAAAAATGATAAACTAAACTGAGAGTAACTGAAATACATAGTTGCCCTCTTCTCAGAAAATTTCAATTTCTTCTCCTGAGCAATTTACTATGAGTACACCCCCAAGCACACTATAAGTTAGTCAGATATGGAACAACATGCTTACCATTCATTTCAGAATTCTGCTCGCTCTCTGTAGACGTTACGGCCCGTTCAACTGGTATCTCTGCAGGCATGTTTTCTTCTTGAGGTACACGTCTTCTCTGCCTGCAGAAAGCAGTTGTCTTTGTCACATATAAGAGCCGTGCACGCATCATAACTTACAGCTGACGACAACCGCTGTTGAATTCCTCTTCACCCTTTCGTTTCACAGCATTGGCACCTATACATGGAGATTATGTTATGTAAAAATTCTGCAATGACCCACCTTCAGAACGCTCTTTCAGCACGGATTCTTCGACCTTCTTCTGATGTGCTTCAGTATTAACGAGCAAATCTTCCGAGCAGGGAGTCTGAAAAAGACTTAGTAACTATTGAGCTTGTGCTCAAACTCAACTATTCCTAGTACTACTTCTAATATAAACTAGCCTTTCCATATGCGGGATCTGTTTTCATGACATCCGTTCGAGAATCGAATGCGGCTAGAACAACTCATTTATCAAACACAGCGTAAAAATGGCTAATGTAAAAATGCAGCACCGTCTTTATGGAGCACAGTTTCTGCAATGGTAGGCTCGCACAGACGGCCTAACAAGGCACGCAAACGGTCGTCAGTGTAGGATGAGAAAACTCCTGAAACCCCGAATTTTCCGTAGTATGTTGCATCATTCTCGTTTTCAAATAGTATACCTTTTGTGAGTCTACGCACAAGTACGTCGCCTGTGTGATATTCAAGGCATGGGTTTGTTTTTATGAGTTCATGAATCCTTCGACAGCTATCACCGAAAACGGCTTCCATAACGGAACACACGAGATCACAAGCGAAAAGTAACATTCCCCTTAATAACATCCATTCGTACCATGTAAAACCATATGAAACCTTTCAAAAACACTAACCCTGCAAATAGGATTGAGCAGGTCATCACTACGGAGCACTGAAGCAATGCCCTCGATCGAAGTTAGAAGGCTGTGTTGACGATATGTATCTTGAGTTCTGGTGATCTCGATTAGTGAACCTCGTTTGATCCACATGTCAATCAACCCTCCGAAGTATCCTACAAAAGTGTTTACTAAATGAGATTGCAAAACGGTTTTCGATTCCAGAAAGAACTTTTCCGTTGAAGCGCGCCAGGGGTGCATATGGGCCATTGAACTTGCCACATCGCATCCGCTTCCTCCAGACAACCACCGTCTTAGCAGACAGAATCTACCCTCATATTAACTCATTACTAGGTTGTTGGCTGCTCCCAACGACGTTCCCTTGTTTTTGACACTTGAACCAATCATGGAATCTTGAACTATTAGGAGAGGGCGGAGGAAGGATGCACTTCGTGAATAACCACGCTAAAAAGAAAAAGTTCTCTAGCCCGGAAAAGACTATCAACTATCGAATGGGTTGCACAGCCAGCGTTAGAGAGTATCTAACTTCGCGATTGGCGACCGCTACGACATATGTGAGGTAGGGCCAGTATCGCACTCGTGAACTCGCGACTTTGGCAACGTGTCAAACATGTAGCCATGCTTAATTGATCCATAATCGATTATTACCGAGTGTAGCTACACACTATTGAAATCTCATCTTTTTTCGCAACACTAATACAAAGATCAATTGCGCGTGAATACCACAAATGGGTGATATACTAGATCTGTTTTGCAATACACACGTTGAAGTCAGAGCATAACTCAAGCAAAGTCAGAGCATTGTGGAACTTTCCCCTTTTCTGTTTCACTTTCATTCGACCCTATAAATGCACAAAATCGTCGCGAGAGCGGCACTTCACCCGGCCATGATTAGGTGTGAATTGAGTGTGACACGTGCTGTGCAACTACTCTGAATCACGATAATACTGCGGCGGATCTACAAGTAAAATAACGAAACATAGTTTCAAGCGTATACGACCGTATTGTCATAATACTGCCCCAAACACAGAAAATATACGTCGAGCCCGAAAAGATAGATAATACCATTTGGATGCTGTTGCAGCGCGCATCCCAACTTATCTCCTTCATCCCTCTGCTTTTTCCATCCAGCTGATGCCGGTTTTGCATGGAAGATCATGCGCGAGGCTTCAGAGAGCATTTCAGTCGCTACCTAACAATAACAAAACGATATGATGCAGAGCAAAATTATTATGATCACTGGACGTTATAAAGCCTCGTAAGGTAATGGATGGATGTGATAAACTTGCCGGATACACAATTTGCTCCAACTCTGTGAAAAATGAATACTTATCCAGATGACCAACAGCATCTTCCGTTATTAAAGCAATAGCTTCGAAGTTTCGATAAGCCAGAGCATGAGCAATCACATATCGGACATTTTTCGAGATTTCTAGTCGACCAACCTGGAAGGCGATGTCAGATCAAAAGCGAAGCTGCAATTAGGATACTAATTTTTACCAATTTCTTTTCCAGCGGAGCCTTTTCATTAAGAGCGAAGTCGATCCTCAAAATTCGATAGCAACTCAACTGAAATCATATTCAATTTCTACGGCACTCCATGTTAACGCGTGTTTTTCTTTTCGGCCAACATAAACGGAACGCAGCGAGTAAAACGGTTTCACTACTGACGCACTGAACACGAAAGCTCCCTAGACTTCCCGTAGAAAAAATATTCTAGGCATGCGAAGATCGAAAACGATCAAAGAAACTAACGATAAGCGCAGTATGTTTCAAAAAGTATTGGGTTGTTCTGAGAGTCTTTCCCCATTTTCATGTGTATGTTGTAGATCTCAGGATAATGAACATCCATATCTAAACATATGATGGCCCCAAATGTATCTCAAGAGCGTCCTGCCGTCGTATTTCACAGCGATTATGGCTGAAAAAGTAGACTTTTACTGAAAATTTGACTGATATTTGGCAACTGTTCATTGAAACCCAGAAAACGCGTCAATGGAAGCGATGCGGCAGGAGCCTTACGTCCTGTAATAGAGCTCCAGGAGTGCCTTTCACGAGATGGCAAACATTTGGTTGCCGATGTCCAGAAACTCAAGAAAAAAGCCCAAAGTCGGTTGGCTTGTACCCTGAGTGACGAATGTCTTCTGGAGTTGTCTGGAAACAGTCTCTGGTGCAATGCACACTAACAGACACAGCTTCACTGCAGTCATCATAACACAATAGCCATTCCTCAATAGCTCCTTCAAAAAGAAGAAATTATGGAAAAAGGGGATTTCGTGATCTGGGTGACAACCGCCATCAGAACCCTTCAGATTTTGCATGAACATTTTGATTTACCGGCTGTATCTTGTTTGACCCGACTACTTTGTTAGTGGTAGCAAGAATCGGTTCCTCAAGACAACACCCATGGCTCAGAGCAAACCAGAGACGTTCATCACACTGCTAATTGAGAGGCACCTTTCAGACTGGTAAAGTGAACGTCCTCATCTTGCCACAGGCTCCAGCAACAACCTCACTGCTGTAGTTCAATAATGTGAGCAAGCGGATGGGATCTCACGCACTATGCGTAGAAAACATCACAAAGATCACTTCATCGAGCAGCGATCGTCAAGGGATTTCGAAGAAGGTCCACCAAGAGTCTCCAAGCCCTCATGGGATGTTCTGTCACCATTGTGTTCAGCAGATCCGGCCCCAACAGAATACCGTTTGCTTCTGTTGCTGATTCAACTAAAAGAGGGAGAGCTTTATGTTCCGGACTACTCGAAAACGGACTTCCTCCAGTTTTTTGCCTTGAAAGCTCAGGACTTCTAGGCAAACGGCATCCACAAGTCACCTGCTGAAAGGCAATATGTTGACGATCACGATGGGGCATATGACTGTAATTGCTGACTGGCTAAAGAAGAAAAGTGGATTTGAAAAAAAATCGACAAATGGGCAAAGACTTTCAAGACAACCTAATAACATGGAAAACAAACAAGACGTTTAATGCGAGCTAGGTGTCCACAATAAAAGAGTATCATATTGGAGTCATGGCCAGTTGAGAGATTCATTCTTGGGTTCTAAAACGAACTTTGTGGCGCAAGAAGAGGAAACAGAATGTAGGGTGTCCCATAATTTCGTGCCACTTTTCGCATCTGACGTCAGAACTTTATATAGCGTTTTGAATTGAAACTACCTAGGCTACGAAGGCGCAGCACCTGAAGTAACCTCAAATCGAATCTTATTTGCTTTCTTTGTATTCAAAATGTAAAAAGAAACAGCCATGTTTTTTACGCCATATTGACCTATACCGAGCCCCAAACCAATCGAAGCCAGAAGCAACTTTTGCATGCGATCATCTCCTTGTCATCATCCCACATGCAGAACGAGACTGATTAAATCTCCTCGCTCAGGAAACTACGGCCTGAGAGAAAATCCGAATCGTCTACGCCCTAGGAGAAAATCCTGATCCAGGAAGCAATAGGGGTCCGATTTGGACCTACTGTGCTCTCTCACAGAGATCGACCTGCATAGCTTGCTGCGTGACCCACATTAATGCGTTTTACTATAGATGCACAATTAGTAGAGGTTTGCCCTCCCTTAGCGATTCTTGCGGTTTGCGCAATGAAACGCGGACTCTGACACCAACCTTAAGTGGTGACTGAACAACGCAGCTACTGTCAATAAGAAGTGGTGGTTCTATGTTAACTAGCTGCTGTAGCTATAACAAGACAGGCTTCCTGCAATAACGCCCAATGCTGATGAAAAAAACTCCGACCATACGCTCAAACTTCAATCAAGAATGTCTGCTCAACGACAAACATGACTGCGTGTTTCAAAAATGACTCCAAGAAGTCTTCCCAAGTGAACCGTGCAGATTCCGGAGACCGTCAACTCTCCCTGTTGAGCCGTCAGCTCAAGAGCAACAAATACGATTAAAAGGGAACATCAAAATCGGCCTCTTTGCTTTTTTTTTAGAACCGCGGACCTTCTGAAAACGCGGCATCGGCTCTCCGGTGAATAGTTGACATAAAGTCAGTGATAGTGATAGCCCATATATTGGTGATAGATCTTGCTTTTTTTGAAATAATGTTAACTCAAAGTGTTTAAAAGTGGCACGAACTTTTGGAACCCCTTATTTGACCTTAACGATGATATGAACGAAACGACCACTATAAGTTGTTTTGTACAAATTTGGATAGAAAATGTGGACCACAAACACAATAAGTACCTGATCCGCAAAACGAAGAAGATGTTGGTTGAAGAATGGCTTGGAAGCCGTGCCGATCATCCTAGAAGACGACTCCGTTATACCTTTGGGTTAACAATGTGTACGTTCTACTGAATCAAAAGGCAGCAAGATAACCAATAAAACTAAATCCTTGTCAATCGCTTGTGGGCAACCGTTATCCAGTCAAATCCGAATAGAGGAGTATCCACGCAACTTCTATCAAGCGCACGTCACTTCCGGTGACACGCCTACTCCAGCTTTCGGATTTTGACTGTATGTGCTCTCGGAAATAACTGGGATTTTTATATGACCATTCCTTCAAATACAGTCCCCTTACTCCGTTTTCTTTCGTCCTCCATAATTTTTGGGAGACTCTAACGCGAGTGTTCAAAGTCACATGAGTTTCTTCAAAATTGATAAAATAAACCGTTGGTGTCTACACGACCAGTTCTTTGAAGTTCTGAATTTTCCTGAAGCGCTTCTAAATGAAATTTTTGGGCCGAAATTTTCTATTGGGTCTCTAGAAGTCAATCCACCGAGTTGGCTGAACTTTCTTCGACTTTGATTTAGTCTGAAGCATCGGGATTCCTTAGAAGGAAATTGTTTGTCAGCGCTCATTGAAAAATAGTGTTTTAGTAAGGGCTTCGGCTCTGGGATGTACAAAGGACCACCTTTTTACCACTTCACTATGCAATGTATCTTGAGATTTTCCCGGCAACATAGATTCTGAGAAGGTCCATACTGCCAGCCAAGTCAAACGAGAAAAAAGAGCTGAAAGAGCAGATCCGTCGATTTTCCCAAACTAGCAAAAGGCGAGAGAATCGACCACCCTCAAGATCAGGTAGGGAGTTCCCCATAACGCTGCAAACAAGGAAATGAATCAACGAAATAGGAGATCTCTTGACTCTAAAGCATCCACGGAAAAGTCACACAACGATATATAAAAGCTAAATAACAAAAGTACTTCTCAAACTTTGATGACTGCCTTAGTTCCACTTTCGGTCGGTCAAACACCCCTCACATGTACACATGTCCTTGAAAATCTTACTCCGCAATTTCCTTTGCTTCAGAATTCACGGAATCCTCGAAGAAACTAGAACATTCGTCAGAAAGCTGCTCACAAAGATCGCTGCTGGGAAAATATAGTTTCGCGAGAACCATGGCATCTCTGCAACAAAGCGATTTCAACAGTGAAAATATTAACAAAATAGTAACGTACACATATGAAGATGGAACTAAGTGAAAAACTCCGACTCAAAACAGCGTTTATTTCAGAATCGGACATCCTCATCCAATTCCAGACGTATGCGACTAAAATTGCCTTCATATTTTGCATCACTGTGGAATATGCGCAGAGTGCGGAAAGCGTTGGTACAGAAGGCTGGAGCAGGACTGGGGAGGCAGTCCTGACGCGACTGACCGCGTTCTATTATACAGGGGTGGCCAAAAAAAAAGAGACACTTGACTCCACATTTCAGACAGCATTAATCACACTTTGCTAGAATCAAATCGACTGCCCCCAACTCAGTATTGAAGAGCACCTTCTAATCTATCTAAACCTTACATGACAGCCTTCTACACCGACGATCAGAAGATTTTCCCACGGAAACATGGTTCGCGATACGAGCTCAACGGGGTCGTCGAGGTACCATAGACCATTACGACGTCCCTGAAACGATGGTCAAAAGTGGTTTTGCATAGTCACAGCTAATGTCTCGAGGAAGCTATTTAATCGTCAATCCATTGAAGAAATCGTGAAGTAGCTTCAGGCCGGAGCGATTACGGTAAGCCTCGTTGAGCTCGACGGTGGCGGTAGATGACGTCATATTCTGGAGACGGCGGGGACAGCGAAGGAGGGGCTGCTTCTGCTTACGGGGGAACACCTATGGAGTATTACGCCGTAGAAGTTTCACTAACATCGGCACTCTGTGCGACGAAAAGTTCGATGAAGTGCGCCATGGGCAAAGTGTCTTTTTTTTTGGCCACCCCTGTATATAATAATCTATCTTCGTACTTTGCGCATGATCAGCTTTATCTGCATATTCCGCGACTCACACTAGTCAAGGCGACCTATGCTAGTTAAAAGTTAGAGTTTAACTGACTGGTCCACAAGCATGGCCTAGGAATAGGACATCAAACTCTCATGCTATGCAGAGAGCTTATCAATCAGGGCGCAGGTGAAAGTCACGCTTGCCTCTAATCAACTAAAGCCTAGCGAAAAAAGGTAAAGAAATCAAGCTGTGAACGGTAAGGAGACTTGCAACCGCGAGGTGAGCTATATCGGACTGAGCAATAAATATCCGCCGTTTTCACCTCACTTATAAGTTTATTAAGAAAACCAAACAAACAGAACAATGAATGCGCAACCAACAAACGCTCTCGATTCGAACATGCTCAGTTCTGCAACCGTTGCGTCATTCCAGGCTTCACTCTCTACGTGCAGATGCAGAAGCATTCGCTTTCGAGCTCAACTTGCACTCATGCAGCAAGAGCATTTTTTGCTCACGTGTAAGCTCCAGAGTGAAGCAAATACACAAGTGTTGTACATCAAAATGTACAAGAGATTGCGCGCTTTCAGACTACATCATAATCTTTGAAAATAATCAGCAAAAAATCAAAGAGCCATGAGCCTGAAAAAAAAACGGCGGATAATTATTGCTCAACATAGTAAAATTCAAGCTGACACTCACTATTGGCTGCTATTGCCCACACAAACAAAAATAAGATACCCACCATTGACGCAAAAACAAATAAAAAACGAACAAACAATAAAAAACGCTCACAGTTTCAGCCCAATAACAGCCAGTTGAGCAATCGCCGACATACGTCGCGTCGATGGACCAGCCATTATATCACACATTAGGCTGGTAATTGTAGCGGCTTCTAGCATCTCCGGAGACGGTGCTCCACCACGAGACAAGCGCAGCATCACCAAAGTCTTGTACTCGTCCCATATATCTGAGCTAGCTGCAAAATGATTTACAAACTTTTAACTCCATGAAATAAGCAATAAGAAAAGATAAGAAGAAACTTCCATACACAACTTGTGATGTAACTGCAATAGATCATGTTCATAGTTATTTTCTTCGCTCAATCTTTGCGCGAAAGAGACCTGAATGAATATATATTACAACTATTAAACTTAAACGGGTGAAAGTGATCAGGGGCGCAATGTGTCTCGGGGGGGGGGGGGGGGGGGGAAGGCAGTCGCCGCGCGCGGCGCGTGCGGCAACAGGAAATTCGTGAGCCAGGGGGAGTGTAGCCAATTCAGGGGGGTTGGGGGGAGTGGAGGGCAGTCACTTGACATGCGTGAG